TGTGAAATCCAGTGAAAATCCAATGTTGTAAAAATTTAAATTTCAAATGCTCATAAAAATTTAATTTGAATTTCCGGTGGATATTTTTTTTGTGATAAAGATTGAAAAACTTGTAAGGAATCTTACCTTATTATTTTGTATGAAAAAAACAGCACCTTACCGATAAATGAAGATTTTTGATRCAAAACTCTTCACTTTTTGTAGGACAACTACATTTTTAATTTTTATACATAATTTATGGACTGAATTATTAATAAAAATGTTAAATATTTAAACACCACATTTCTGTGTTTATATTACCTACTACATTAAATATTATCTACCAATTACTATTATCCAATTCCATCATAAAAGTACTGMCTGAAAATTAGTTTTGTRTTACCAATGTAAGTTTGTTTCTTCCAGTATCAATGATTTTGTTTGATCGTAATACCACTGTTGGATAATTTTGATTCATCAATMCRAAGAATGAGACTAATAATAATTAAAGTATTATTTTGAAACCAAAAATTAAATCAGACTACACATTCATATCTACGGGACGTATATTTTGAACCAAGTCTATTTTATATGGATRCAATTAAGCAGTTTGTTTTTTTAGAATTTTTTTGAACATACCGTTTGAAATTCTATCGAGCAGGTAGGTGGCATTAGCCAAAATTTATTAAAATCAACTTTTTTATCATTTTTTAGATTGATTATAAGTAATAACTAATATTATAAAAGCACTTATAAGATAATTAATCACACACAACTGAGCAACRAAATACAGACTAAAAGTATAACATTAGTTTGATTTTTATTAAAAATCTACAATTAAATACATTATCAAGGTATTACTATAACTAAATTAAATACCACAGTAAAAATAGTAGATTTACTAAATGAATTGTAATTTGTATGCTTGATAGTTGTAGGGATGTGGGATATTATATAAACCAAAACACTAGAATATTAATAATAAAATATTGAGCTTTTATATATTTTTCCACAATGATATTAAACAAAACTTAAAATAACTTGAACAGCCATATATATGGTTGTTGCGAATCCAGCAAACCATGATAAACCTCTAGCCGGTTGTGGTAAAACGACCACAGTGTAAACTATTGTATGAATTATTCTACTTGCTACATACAATCTTATCAAATTGGTAGCAATATATATATTTGGGTTGGTTAATAAATATCCAAAACATATAATTATAAATAGTGGAATATTTTCTAAATCATTGAGATGAGCTCTGAAAAAAAAATGATTTTAAATGTTTAATAACTATATATAAGTAACATACTAATATGTATATACAATTTCTAATAATATACCTTCTGACTCTTTCAACATCAGCATCATCATACTTCACTTTTGACTTTGAATTCAATTTTGTATCTTCAGGGTTAGCAAATACCTACAAATAAAATAATTAGAAGTATTCATAGTTAGTTGAGTTAATTCTAACTATTTTATAAGGAACACCGATTTTAAATATTTTTATCAGACTACACAGTAAACCTATATCARCAGTTTGTGTTTGAACTAAACATAGCTACACAGTTATGTATTAAACTATTATATAAGTTAGAATATTATTGTGAATGGTACTTTGTAAACTGATGATTGTTAATGAATGGATTATAATATATTATCCACATTCATTTGATCATGAAAATCATACATTATCTTTTGTACGTTTAAATGGACAAATTATAAAATACAATTATATATGGATCTAAGTCTGTTTTAATGTTATCATAGTACCTAAAATTATTTAAAAACAATGGTCAAACTTAAATAGTATTTTGAAACACGTCAWCAAGAATGTAATTGGTAGGCAGTAGTTACATAATACTTGAAGGAGATAAGTATGATATGTTTACTATATCGCCACTATAGTAGTGTCATTTTAACTCCGYAGTCCATTATACATTTAAATATTATAACTCTCATCAACTAACGACTATACCTATTTAAATTAAGTTTGAATCCTAATGTTATTATAGACTGGGCATGAGATATAATAACTAATAATGTACTTTTACGAAGTTCCTAAATTAGATTTTATATAATACAGTAACTGATGTATTCAGCATTATTTACTATACATTCTTTAAAGAAAAATAATTATTTTTTAGACTTCATAATTATTTTACTCAATATTTTACAGACTAGTTAGTAACAAAAAATTTTGTTATTTATAACGAGGAGATAAATTWAAAATTTTTTAACAAATAGTAAATAATATATAAATTCAAATACTMCTATTTTTTTTTCTTATTTTARAACTTTAGTAMTAACTATTACAGTTAAACGATATATTACTATATATCAACAAAAGTTTCTCTATCAAAAGCATTTCATTATGTTTTGTAAAAAACATTAAAATACTCCTCAATATGTAATACTTAATGTATTTACATACAAAGATCAAGTAATTTATACTGATAAATTAGAAACAATAAATTTCAATATTAWGTAACAAGAAAAGTAAGAATTACATATACTTGTCTATTAATTGTTTTCCCATACAATGATATACGCACTAAGCATTTATTTCTCTTAAATCTTAATACAATTCACGGTTAATTATACATAATGTAGGTATAGTGTTAATGTTTAGTGTAGCAACCAACTGGTATAATATCTTTAAAACGTCCAAGAAAAATATAGCATAATGACACACACTACTATACTAGATACTATACTACTATACTATCAACCGATAATATTAAGTAAAATCATATAAAATCAAAACAACTGATGAGCTGTGTATGTCCATCWCTATCGCAAGTTAGTACCTAGTAYCTACAAYGGCACACAGATTGTGAATTTGTAGAAATATTCTACTCGTGTCGTTTTGATTTAACATTAAATACCAATCATCTATATTGTGCTATGTACGGTGTACCTAGTATGGTTTATTATTTAAATAATATAATTTCAATTACCATTTTCGCAAACCGTTGTTTGGCCGTCAGCGGGGCCATTGCGAGTACTTTCAGTACTAATACGGCCGTGTAAAACACGTACGTTCTGAACAAAACTTCATCGACTTCAAATGAAACCATCGTGTTTAYTGTTACGGGGAACGGAAAGCTAAGTAATAACTTATAAATCGTATGGGACGCGAGAGACGTGAACGATTCTAGCCGACTGAAGGAGAATGATGATGGACTGATGGAGTACGGATGATGAAATAATTGAAATATGAATGACGAAGAAGTAACTGAGTGCTTGACGSCTGGTCTGACTGTGGTTTGTGTTAATCGTAAGTCGTTTTTACAATAATTTACTTACTGGTCATGATGACGTAATTTATTAAGATAGTTAATTAGTTGGTTACTCGTTTGAGTCGTTTGTAATGTTTACTGTTTAGCTGAGAATATTTTGATGGCGGCGCAAACAAAAATATTTGATAATAGTATRTTATTTTTATACTTGTTCCATGACCTCTCCGTGAAAACACGAACTACCTCGACCAATGCGCGTTCGAATTTTGAGTACGATTTTATGTAATGTCTTTTCTTTTTTTATGTGTGCGACTAAACCAACTAAACTACCGGTGAATATCCCCTCTTCCACAATTCCACATGTCACTCGACACTCGACGTCGATAGTCGATACTCATACGTACCGCTGTGCGACGTCAGTSGYCRKT